GGGGGGCCCCCGGGGGGCCCCTCCGCGCCAGAGTGCTGGCGCCGCTTGCGGGCCCGCCGGCCCAGCAGCACCGCGAGGGCCCCAAAGACAGTCATGGGGGGGCCCCCCGAGCGGGGGCCCCCTGGGGGGACCCCCTCTGCTGCTGCTGCAGGCTGGCTGGACCCTTGGTGGGAGAGCCCCTTGGGCCTCAGGGTACGGAAAATGGCAGCTAAACCCTTCATGGGGTCTCTGGGGGGCCCCTCCAGGGTTTGGGGTGCAGCAAGGGCCTCCTCAGCAGGCTTTGGGGGCCCCACTTTACCTGCCTCTTTGGGGGGGCCCCCCTTAGGGGACGAAGGGGGCCCTTGGGGAGACGTAGGGCCCTTCCCTGAGGCTGCTGGGGGCCCCTTGCCTAAGGGGGCCCCCCCTGGGTGCCCCCCTGTCTCCACTGCGGGGGCCTTTTCTCCACTGGTGTCTCCTTTCAAGGACCCAGAAGTGTGGGGAGCCTTAGGGGGCCCCGTGGAGGCCCCCTTGGGGGCCCCCGTGGGGGGCCCCTTGGGACCCTCCGTGGGGGGCCCCTTGGGGCCCCCTGTGGGCGGCCCCTTGGGGACCTCCGTGGGGGGACCCTTGGGGGCCCCTGCAGAGGGCCCCTTGGGGGCCTCCGTGGGAGGCCCCTTGGGGGCCCCCGTTGAAGGCCCCTTAGGGGCCCCCGTGGGGGGCCCCTTGAGGGTTCCCTCACGGGTCCCATCGGAAGGGGCCTTAGGGGCCCCCTGAGTTGGTTCCGTAGGGGGGGCCCCCTTGAGGGCTCCTTTTGGGGGCCCCCCTTCCAGTGGTATACGGGGCTTATCAGACCCTGCAGAGGCCCCTGATGTAGACAGGGGGGGGCCCTTGGGGGCCCCCCTATTCTGAATTGTGTCTGTTTTCTTGGCTGGTAAGGGGGGCCCTTTTGCCCCTTCCACAGAAGACACTTTGGGGGGGCCCTTGGAGCCCCCTGGCCCTGACTGCGGGGGAGACAACTTGGGGGCCCCCTGGGGTCCCCCTAGTTGTTTGGAATCTGCAGCAGCTGCTGCAGCAGCTGCTGCAGCAAGTACCTCCTCGCGGGGGCCCCCCACAGCCACGGGGGCCCCTTTAGGCGCAGCTGCCTGGGGGGCCCCACACTCTGGCTCCAGCATCACTGCAGCAGCAGGCCTTGCTGGGACCTCCTGCCTTAAAGATGCCCCTGGGGGGCCCCCTAGGGGGCCCCTTGGGGGGGCCCCTGGGGGGCCCCCTCGCTTTGGGGTTTCTTCTGTGGGTGGGCCCCCCGGCACACTGGGAGGCAGCAAATCGTCTTTAGGGGGGCCCCTTGAAGCTGAAGAAGACCCAACTGGGGGCCCCTTGGGGGCCCCAGAGGGTTCAGCATTGGGGGCCCCTGTAGAATCCCCTTTGGGGGCCACTTGGGGGGCCCCTTTGGGGGCCCCTGGGGGTTCACCTTTAGGGGCCCCCTTGGGGGCCCCCGAAGTTTGTTTGATGGGTCCAGCCTTGACTGTCTCAGGGGGCCCCCCTCCTAATTCTGTTGAAGCGAGTTTTGCAGAGGGCCCCCCTGGGGACCCTTTGGGTTTGGGGGACCCCAGGGGGGCCCCAGGGGTGCCCCCCTGGGGAAGGGCCTTTTGGGGGGCCCCCTGAACTGTTTCCTTTGAGGCTGCCGTGGCAGGGGGTCTGCTTGGGGGCCCCTTGGGGGCCTCCTTGGGGGCCTTCTGCGCAGCAGCTGCTAAGGGCCCCTCAGAGGCCCCCACCGAGCGGGGCCCCAAGGGTGGGGGCCCCTCCAAAGACACACTAGGGGAGCCCCCCTTATGAGACACTCTAGACGGGGGGCCCCCATGAGACTGCGGAGATGAGGGGCCCCCTTGACCCCCTGCAAGCAGCTCTTTGGGGGTGGCCCCCTTTGGGGGCCCCCCAGGTGGAGGCCCCTGAGCAGACAGCTTGTGGGGAAGGTCCTGGGTGGGGGGCCCCTTGGCTGGGGGCCCCCCTCGGGGCCCCAGAAACAGGGTACTGGTGGGGGCCCCCCCACGATGGGGGGCCCCCCTTTGCCCCTGTTTTGGGGGCCTCGTGAACTTGCTGCCAAGGGTAATGTACTGCTGCATCATGAGTCTCCTTCGAGCAGCAAAAGCGTCTCTGTGGAGGGCCCTAAGGCCTTCATTCTCGCTGCTGCTGCTGCTGCTGCTGCTGCGGTTGCTGCTGCTGCTGCTGGCGTTGCTCCAGATGCCGCTGCTAGCGCGGCGGAGCTTGCTGCTGCTGGGGACCACGCTGCTGCTGCTTGGGCTCACGCTGCTGCTGCTGCTGCTCTTCCTGCTGCTGCTTTTGAGGCTCTTCCTGCTGCTGCTTCTGCTGCTGTTGGCCCGTCTTCGCTGGTGCGCCCTGCTGCGGCTGCTGCGGCTGCTCCTGCTGCTGCTGCTGCGCCTGCTGCTCCAGTTCCTGCTGCTGCTG